TTTTTTGTAAATCGTGTTTGGTATGTTGTGAAACGTCGTCTTTCGTGAAATTTTCTTTAATGATGTTTAAATAACTAGAGAGTAGTGTGATTTCATGTCGTACTCTTAAATGTTTAGATGTTTCTGTCGGTGAGACATTTGTTATTGGGATTTCGTTTTCTAATATCGAAATATAACTATATATTATTGCGAAAACTTCATTGGTGAATATGGAGTTTGCTCTTTGTGAGTTATGATATTGGATGCTTTTTATATATTCTGAAAAAACTTTTGAAAATTCTAAATCAAGATCGTCTGTTTGAATTGTATATTTTCTATTATTATGGTTTGGTGAGGTGAATTCTATGGAGTAGATTCCATACTGTTGTGTTATCTTGCATATATCTTTTAGATAGTGATCTATGATTTGTCTTTTGATTTTTACATCGGGGAACTCTGTTTTACATGGACTGATTCCGGGTTCAAATAAATTTACGAGTAAATTTTGACAAAATATGTGTTGTCCTCTATCAGTATCTGCATCTACTATAAAAGGAAAGATTTCATCATCATCTGGAGTTTCGTCACCTGGGGTGTGTGTTGAACTCATTTTTTCGTTCGATGACTGTTAATATGTAATTATTAATGTGTCGAATTGGTTGATTCCAATTGTATAGATGTACTGGTTTGTGTTTGTACTGTTTTTTTATTCTTCTTTTTCCTCTTTGTGATGAATTTGAAGTTGTTTCTGAGTCAGAAAAATATAATTGATCGTGAAGTGGGTAATTTTTATCTATTGATTCTTTTAGTTTGTAAAGTTCGTCTAAACTGTTGGTTTCTGATTCTGAAAATGCGTTTCGATTTTTTGAAAATCTTTTTCGTGTTATTTGTCTTTGTTTAGTTATTATTTTTCTTTTTAGTGTTTGTCGTTTTGTTCGAATGTATCCAACTGTTTGTGTATGAGGTGTGATTACAAGGTCGTATTTTTTGTTATCTATTTCACAATTGTGTAAAATGATTGTTTGTTTATTTCCTAGGTTTTTAAATGACATAAGGTTTAGAATGACGGATGCAAAAGGTTGTTAAATGATTTCTATTTTCTTAAACTGTTAGTTCTTACGATTTTTTGGTTAGCTTAACCTGGGTCTATTTGTTCAGGGTTGGAGAGAAAAGTATATCGATTCCGAAGAATGATTTTTACTTTCTCGTGACTAGTATAAGCTAAGGTGTTAACTTACTTAATCTTACTTAGGGGTAGTGATTGTGTTCAAGGGTTGGAGAATAGTAAATCGATCCACAAGGTTCAGGTATAATTAGAACGCGAGTAGTTCGTTAGATACTATTTTAAACTTACTAAGTCTAAGATTTATCCTGGGTCTGGTAAGAGGGGGGGTCAAGTGAAGGATGAATAACCGAAGTTCTTCACTGTTTATCCTAATTTGAATGATTAGTTTTGTTTAAAAATTTCTATTAGTCTTGGGTCTTTAGAAAGGGTTGGGTAGTGAATCGACGTTTGAGGTCGTTAGACACTAATTAAGTGGGTGGGGGAGAACAAAGTTGTTCTGTTTGATCCAAGGATAAGCCTTGATGATCAAATTTGAAATTTAATTAAGTAGAAAATGATTTAAGATCCAAGGATAAGCCTTGATGATCTGGTTTTAAAATTAAGTGAATTTAAGTTTTAATAAAGTTTTAAATGTGTGTAAAGGAAAGATTTAGTGTTTTGATGATATTAGTGAGTTGATGATTGCGGTTATGTTTTAGATGATGAAGCTGGAACAACAGGATGATTTATGATTACTAACCATTTATTGTCATGCTACTAATTTTTATTTTTATTTTCCAATAAATATTTTTCAAACATGTTTTGTATAATACTGCAGAGTTTTAGGAAAACGATCTTAGATCTTTTTATCAATCGTTATTGTATAATATTAATTTTGTTTAGCGCCTGAAATGATTTTGAAGAGTAACTTCAAGGTTTTATGTTTGCAAATGGAAATCTAAATTCATTGCAAGTAGTATTCGAAATATAAAAGTTTGTTCTGGCTTTTGCCGAACTATCATATAACTATACGGCAAGTTTCTACTTTGTCGTATGTCGTCTTTGGTTCGAGGTCTTCTTCCAATTCCGGGTAGTTCTATTATGGTTCGGAATATTGGCTCTGATCTATTGAGTCGGAGAGACATTTCAATTAAATTATTGTCGTATAACATTTTGTAAATGTTTTTGTCTAATTTCTAATCTATTTTTGGTTAATTCTAAGCTATTAAGGTCTTGTTCGAGACTTATGGTCGCACCAGATGAGTTAGGACCGAAGTGTAACTCATAGAGTAATTTCGGATAGGGTACACCGTCTGCTCGTCACGCTATCTTATTTTCGGCCGGATAGATTCGTGCAACTTCTTAGTCTAATACCGATCCTAATCTTACTCTTATACTATCTAGTCTCAGGTTGTTTAACTAGTCTCTGCTAGGCTCAATAGATCTAGGGTATACTGGTTTATTGCGGCTGCTGAAGTGCTCGGGAGAGTCCAACTAATTTCTAAGTTAAATTCAAATCTCTCTGGTGCTGAAATTACAAGTAACTTCAGCACTTACAAATAAGTGGGTTGTTAGTTAGATGGATCATGATTGGTTAATATTAAATACTTTACATTGGTAAAACATTTAATTTATCCAATCATAAAATATAGTTTAGATCAGGTTCCACTAAGGAGAAAAAGTGGTGTTTGATTTTGATGCATTTTTTGATGGGTTTTTGTTTTTGTTTGTTTGTTTTCTCTATTTGTTGTTTATCATTGCTAATTTTTATGAAATGTGTTTATGTTAACAAAAAATATGTACTTTGAAATTAATTTTTTTTTGACATTCGTTTTAAGTTTTGTTCTGAAATCATTTTTTTTGCAATTCATTTCTTCTGGTTGATTTTCGGCTCTCAGGCTAATTACATATTGTTATCTTAAGACCCATTAAAGTGTGATCTAAAAACAATTAAGGCAAGACTGGGTAAATTTCTAATGAAAACAAAAAACCCGAAAGTCTCAAAACGCAGAAAATTGTCCAAATTTTCCATTGAAACACTTCACTGATGTTAGATTTTCAGAACCTGTCGGTTTTTGAGAAAAAATGCAGATAAGAATTTTTTTGTGTTGAAACTTTCGCTATATCATCAACGAAACAACTCAGTAAGAAAAGACACTTTCATGTAATTTGCAATGTTTTGTTGTTTCGTACCCCATATTTTTATTCAATTTTAATTTGAAAAGTATTTAATACAAATCAATATAAATTTCAAGGAGGACAAACATTGTTCAGTGTCTCAAGATTAATTTTAACATCACATTGTAAAGTTTCAACCGCTAGTACATAACTTAAATGCATCGGGTGTACTAGTGCATAGGAGGCAGAAAAACAATGACGGAAAATCTGCAATGTTGAAAGCAATTTTTGTTTTTCGGCACTGTTGTTCCAGTTCGACTAGAAATGGGTGAAAAATCAAAAACAATTATAAAATTTTTTGTAACTTTTAACTATCAAAATGTGCATTAAGATTTCAAATATAATTTTTCTGCAAGTCCATTTTTCTAAGTGAATCTTTGTTTAAATTTAATTTTTTTTTTTCAATTGAATGTTTTATAGATCTTTCCAAACCGATTGAGGAAACAGTAGTAAAATTTAAAACTAATTTTGAAACAGCTGAAACTTTTGTAGGATGGTCAAGCCGAATATATGTCTATTATTTTCATTTATTGAAACTGTGAGATAAGCATTTTTTCCATATGCTCGGTGTATGAAACAGTATGATAAGCTTTTTTTGTTGATAAGCTTTTTAACAGTATGAAAGTAACGGAATATTTTTGCTCGGGGAGGGTTTTTTTTCTTCAGACACATTTCGATTTTTTAACTAGCCATTTTTGACGGAATTTTTTAACATCATTCAAAAGTTATTGTTGTCTTGAGCTTAAAATTGAAAAAAAATTTCACCTGTAATCATCTTTCGTAAAATTACGGGGGTTTAAAGATTGCCAACTCGGCCAATTTGGGACAATTAACGCGCCATTTATTTTGTGCCATTAACGCGTAAGGGGAGATTTAATCCGTTTTAGAACTCGTTCCAAATTGGTTGAAGGAAGCTTATGTGTCATAGTTGATTTGTTACTAGGAGTGAAATCTATCACTTTGGACTCTATCAACTTTATCAGTTTTTGGCTTTTTGGAGCACTTTCAGTTTTGGTACTATTGTACTTCGGCACTGATCAACGTCTTCGTGCTTAGTAGCAAATGCGTCAGAGTAAAATCTGTTTACAAGTAAGGATTTGAAACTTTAAGAGCTAGGTAGATTTTATATATATTTAATCGACTACTCAGCTAAAAAAACTTTCAAATGAGAAATAAGCGATTCTGCTGCAAACTATGCAAAAATTGGCGGATAGCTAGTTAAAATTTTTTTGCTCGCTTTGTTTTACTCAAGATTAGGGGGGCCTTTCCACTATAAGATAAAAATTGAAAAAAAAATTTTATTAGAAAACTGGACTGAATAAACTTACAAATACAGTGTTGATTTTTTGAACGATAAATCAAGCACCAAAATTGCAGAAGTGCAAATAAGTTGACAATTAAAAGTGCATCTTTTTTCAATTTTTATGTGCAGAAAACAGCGAAAAAAGGAAAACAAAAATAAATTAAAACTCAGTTTGAGGCTATATCAAAAATGTTTCGTTTTGACTAATCATGTAACATAATATTGATGGTTTTTTGTAATTATGGCCCATTTTCATTATAAAAACTTTCATTTTCGTTTAAGGAGCATAACCGAAATCTATAAAATGAATACATACAAAAAAAATACATACGGTTTTTTTCCAATAAATTTTGTTGTTTTTTTAACAGCAGTGGAGTTATTTGTTGATTAAAATGGCCTTCTTTTCTGCGCTTGAACATTGAACCTTTTTTGTCGCAAAATTTAGTTGAAGTATTTTTTATTGCTATTTTTAAGTTTTTAGTATATTATAAACAACAGCAATATTTTGCATCGCGAAACTTTGTGACACAAATCGAGACGCGAAGTGTTAAGATATGAACAAATTTTAAGATGCAATATAAGCTGTTGTGTATCTGGTAGAAAAACAGATGTGAAAAACCCGCATATTTGGAAAAAATTTCTGGTCAACACGCAGTTCTTACTTTGTTTTCCGTTTGTTTGATTGTTCAAATAAAGCACGGAATCATATTGCATACAAGCGGTTTATTGCTCAAATACAGCACGAAAAGGTATAAAACACGTGTTATTTTTCCTCAAAACAGCTAAACAAATGAATTTATCAATTTTTGTTATTTCACTCAATTTTTATTATTTCACCATTATTAAAAGCAGGGATGAATTTTCCCCTTGATTTATAGCTTTTTGCATTTCGTCAAAACGCTAAAGGGAGGGAACTCATTGAGACTTTTTTGTTTTCTGCTTTTTGGAAATAAACATAATTGCCATTGACAGAAGAACAGGAAAACACCTGCTTCTCAAGACACGAGAATTCAGATATTCTGCCAAGTGAATTCGATTTTTCATGCTTCAAAACTAGACAACTTGACATTTTGATCAGATTGGCCATTATCTGAATTAAGTCATAATCTTCGCCTCGCTGTCAAGATACGGATTTTTTCATTACAAACAGAATTATCTTCTTTTGTCGAGTTCTTTTTAATATTTTTTTTACCAAAAAGCTGAGTGATGGGATATTTTTTGTAAATCAGGGACATGTTCTATTACCTTACCTATAATAATGAACTGTCCATTAACCTAGTTTGATTTAAAGCCACTTCTTATCTAGTGAACAAAAATTCAAGTGGTTGCGCTGAAAATTTCTGAGCTCGTTTGCGTTTGTTGTTTTTTTGTCTGTTTTCGCTCTTTTCAATCCTCGACTGTAGACGAATACGTACAGCTCTTGACTGTGGAAAATTCTATTACCAATATTTTCCACTCCTCTAATGCAAAATTTATTATTGTTTATTTTTAATACTGGAGCAGGCAAATTCAATTAAAAAGAGCATAACGGCCCACTTCAAAAACATTTTACATGGGAATCCTAGTTTTCAGGCAAAATTTATGTCTAAAGTTCAACTGGAATTTCAAAATTCCAGGGCAAATTTGCTCCAAAGACACATATTGCTCTTTTTATCATTTTTGTCTGCTCCAACTTGTTCAGCTTTCTGCTACTTTTACGTTCCGAATCAATGTTCCTTTTTTAAATTAGTTTTTTTTATGAGCGGCAAAGTTAATTACCATTGAATAGAAAAAGAGTTGGGAGCTTTTATTTGCAACATTTATACTCATCTAATGTACCGCTTTTGGCCAGCCTCTCAGATTAAACCTTGGATTATTCTGGTAACGAAAATGATTAAGAAGGCGGTGCTGTGTGGGACTAAGTCCCTGGATGTGTCCAAGTTGAGTGTGCCCCTCAACAGACACAAAACCCTAACCCCCACCCCCTCCTTCGGAAGCAGACTCTCCGCGGGGGGACCAGAAACAGACACTAACACATCCGGATCCAGGACTCCAGGTATCACGTGTCATCCAGAGGACTATTTTCACGGCAGAATTGTCGAATAGCAAAATTCAACATTCAGACTCTCAAAAAGTCCTCCAAAATTCTTGTTTGAATTATCACGTTTTCGCTCAAAATTTGAAAATGCCGAAATCTAATTGGCTAACATGATTTTTGTTTGTCAAACTTTTTGTAAAGTGCGGATTTCTTCCCCGATGTCACAGGCTTTGAACCACTAGCGGATTTAGGGGCGGGGCACACACCTTGCGCGAGCATTAGTTTTATGGTGTAACAAGTGGGGCTCTTTTCCTGTTTGCCCCTCTGATTTTTTCGGAAACTCACTTCACACAAGTTTATTTAAAACTGCTTTTGATGTTCTAACTGTAAAAACGTGGTAATTTAATTTTGTAACGATCGAACAAGCAGTTTTTTTGTAAAAATCAGCAGGTGGGGAAGGAAACAAAATGAGCCAATTCTTTTAAAGGTTCCTTGGGCGAACGCCTTTTTTGACCTTTTTTAAAATTTACCTGCGGTGCAGAAGTTTTAGTCAAAATAGGGTCGTTTTTGTGATTTAGGAGAACTCGAAAAATCAATTGTCAACCTAAAAAAAAGTCGACCAATCGTTTTTTTTTTTGAAAATACGCCCCCTAGATCCGCTCCTGCTTCGAACATCAAATCTTACAGACATACAGATCTTGACTTGATTGATATATAATTTTTTCAAGCCAAGAATCAAGTTCGGCAACAAAGATAAACTTTCGGCTCATCTTGAAGATCATAGTCATCAAAGTTAAAATTTCGGTTGTGTAAAAGTGTCTTCTTAATGTTTCAGAAGAGGCGGCAGGGGAGGATAAAGATGAAACCCCCCCTCGAATTTTGATGGGGGAAGATGCCCCAGTGTATGAGGGCTACAGGCTTCACCTCCCCGCCCAGATGAGGGACAGGAACCCCTTCAACGTCCTCCAGATTCTCAAA